CGATGACGAAATTCGCGTCTTCTAACTAAATGTTTGTTACTTTGCTATTAGTCATTTTTCTTCTTGAACTTGTTTATTACTGTTGCGTGGAATTATTATATTTGGTATCCATTGATTAGTCTGTAATTTCATTCGGTCAGAAACTAACACTGTAACGAACTGGGGAAAAGGTTATCTTCTTTTAAATCTCTAGACAGATTTTTCACTTTTTGTTAGATGCGACAAGATTTTCATCTGATATTTCTATTTGTTCCTCGGTACTTTTCTCGTCGTGATTTCACGTGATTTTCCGAGACTGATTAAAATGTTTTTTAAATAATCAAGCGAAAGATCTGTGCAAAAATTTCGCATTCAACTTCACAAAAATCGGATGACACTATCGTCATAGTGTCGTGGGAAGGTAACGTTCTTCAAACGGAGCATCGAAAGAATAAAACAGAGAGAGAGAGAGAGAGAAAGAAAATGAGCGAGAAGAATAGTGAAAAGGATATCGAAGATCGAAATGCAGAGTTACGGCGCGATTAGATAAATTTAATTAAACTTCCGGCGAGATGAAACCGGGAGAAACGAACGACAGACTCGAAAGACAATATCTCGAGGTTAATTGTACGTCGGTTGCCCCGAGGCAACCTTGATTGAAAGAGAAAAGGAGAAAAATGAAACGAGAGAAAGGGAGCAAGAAAAAGCTGGAGAGAGAGAGAGAGAGAGAGAGAGAGAGAAAAAAGGGAAACGAACGATCGTTGGCTGTCTTCGAGTTGGTAATTGAAACAAATTGCCAACGACCAGAGCCGCCACTCTCGTTTCGACGTCGACTTCCGGAAGGAAATCGTTACATGGTAATGAAAGTATTTGATAGCTCGCGCGATAATAGCCGCGACTCGCACGCAAACCTTGAAAAAGAAAAAAAAAAAAAAGAGAGAAAAGAAAAACTCTCGCTACGTTTCGTTTGCCGCGCATTAAACCCGCATTGTTACGGATTTTCATTGTTAACGGAAGAAAATTCTGTCCTTTAGATCAGCATCGGCATCTCGAGTCTTTTTTGAATTATTTTAAGAGATAATAGCGTGTACTTGCCGTGTTTTTATATAGAATTCCGTCTTTTGTAATATTGTGATACTGGTACTGATGGGATTTCTATTCGACTTGAAGCAAGCAAACGTGTTTTCTAGAATTTAACTCGGTGATTAGAAATGAATGAATCTTTGACTTTCAGAATGCAGAACTCGAAATAATAATTTTAGATTGGCATCGCGGTTTCTCGAATCTTAAATTCATTTTAGTGATAAATATAACAGCGTGTCACTACTGTCATTAGTTCTACGATGAATTGAGAAAAGTAAGAATGGCTTAGACTGGGGGGTCAGAATATATAGAATTCCCGTGTAATTTAATTTTTGAGGTTTTCAATATCGATCTGAATATTGGGATTTTTAACGGGGACAACGGGAAATCACTCTTCTTGCAACAGCACTGGTTCTTAAATTATTTCTAGATGTATATATATATAAATGTAGAAGCATTGTAATTTTCATGATCAATCAAAAGAGGAAACAGCAATTTAAATTGAAAGTATAAAATTCGTGCAATTAAATTTAAAGTTTGTAATACTAATTTGAACATTGGTATTCCCGCGTTGGATTCGAAAACTTTTCATAATTTAATTCGAGAATTAGAGTATTAAGCTTCGGAATTTATAATTCGAGGCGACGACAGTAATGTTTTTAACAATCTTTATAATATTCGAGGAATGATATACCTATTGATATTCTCGAAGGGTTGAACTCTATTGAATTAAAGTGATGTTTCCTTTGAATTTCTAAGATCTTGATAATAGGCTAGTTTTACTAGTCAAATAAATAAACCTGCTCTTCTCCTTTCCAATTCCTCGTTAATCCCTTTCCATCATAATAATTCCCATCCTCGTTCTCAATGCAAACTACCATCACGTTGCGTAACTTCAACTCTCGAAAGTTTCCAGTAACTCTCATCTTCGTTCTTAAATAACTTGAATAAAACTACTCAAAGTAAACGAAACGGAGCAATTTCTCGACACGGTGAAATGAAATCTTAATCACCTGTTTTCGTCTTTATTCTTTCGAATATTCCACGTTAGAACGTTACCTTCCAAATGTTACCAAAGAACCTTACTTCCATAAGGTTTGATATTCGCTAAAAACAAAGAAAATGTTCAATTCACTAATGAAGAAGAATCCTACGTCAAAGTGTCTTTTCATTTCCCTTTTCAAGTCATCCAGTGGCCCGTTTTTAACAATTTACGTGTTACCAACACGCACCTCTGTACA